ATAATATAATAATAATAATAAATATATTATAAAGTATTAGTGAAGTATAATGGAGTGGCCAAACGATAAAGCTTTGTTATTTATTAATGAAATTGAAAGCTTACCGATTTTATGGGATTCTTCAGATCCATATTATAAAATTAGTAGGAAAAAAAATGAGACGTGGGAAAATCTTGCCAACAAATTCTGTACAACAATACTAGATGTTAAAAAGAAATGGCTTTCATTACAGGTAAACAAATGTTGGGTTTTATATACCAGTATTTTATTGCAACAAAAAGTAATTATAACTTTGAGAATTATTATACGTAATTATTTTGTATTCAATGAATTCAGCATAAGTCAGTCTTTAATTATTGATAATAAATCTACGAGTACTTTTTCTAGGCATCATACAGAAGAGAGAGAATTAAGATGATTGATTCTGCAAAGGGAACTGAGAAAAAAGTATCATCAAAATGGTTTGCATATCGTGCAATGACGTTCTTGGGAGATCATTATAAACCAAGAGGAATAAGAGATACTTCTGAGGTAAAATAAACATACATTTACAGTTTATAAATTTCTTTTAATTTTAATTTTGAAAGTAAAATTAACGCCCAACGTTAGTATATCTTCTCTTTTTAGAGTAGATTATGAATTTTCATAAACTTTTTTTTTGTTAGAAAAAATAAACTTAATTCTCCAGTATTGTTTTTCCTTCGAACCATATTATTATTTGTTCATTCTGCTCTTCAAATATTATATCATTCAGTCATAGAATTTTATATCTAGAATAGAAAATTAATTATATATAAATACTGCTAAATACATTACAATTTTTGGTAATATAACTTATCAAAATAAGTTACTAAATAAATTATATCAAAATAGTTATAGACCCGTATTCACAACGCGCTTTTATCGATAAAAGCGCGCTTTTATCTTTGAAATTCTATAATCTGCGTAACGTAAAGTATAGTATGTTAACAATAAAAACGGTTGAGCATATGCCACACACTAGATCTTGTTAGTGAAATATCAAATATATTCTCGTATAAAATTAAAAGAATTACAATAATTATGTCAGTTACAATTAATCAAAGTATAAACGTTTCGGCCCTGAATGTGGCCATCTTCAGTATAAATAAACACAATGGCCCGTATTCAGAACGCGCTTACAACGATGTTAGCACGCTAACATACTATACTTTACGTCACGCATATTATAGAATTTCAGAGATAAAAGTGCGCTTTTATCGATAAAAGCGTGTTCTGAATACGGGTCAATATTTTTAAATATAGTATGTTAGCGTGCTAACATCGTTGTTAGCGCGTTCTGAATATGGGCCATAATGTATAATATATTTATTGTAAGTTGTTGTTATTTCAGACTTCTGAAACATGTCAACAAGAAAAAAATAGTGACCTTAAGGATCAAGAAGGTATTAATGAAACAGACATAACATGTCCGAAAGTAGAAGCTACATTACATGAACCAGAGAGAAGTGTACGGTTGCGTAATACCTCGTTGCGAAGAAAACATTTGAAAATGTTTTATTCTCCAGAATTAAGTAACCCAAAGAAAAGAAAGATTAATGAAGATAAGCCAAGTGAAATGTATATTTTAAAAGCTACTGTCGCAGAAAAAGAATGTCAACGAGATGAAAATGAAACTTATGGTGAATACGTGGCACTGACACTGAAGAAATTAGATAATTATTCACGTATAATGGCTAAACATTACATTAATGAGATTCTTATAGAAGCAGAATTAGGGAAATACAAAGATTCGATTCTTCAAAGATCGCCTATACCCACGACCTATTCTGCTATTTCACCATCGCTTTCTGTATATTCCTACCAATCCGGAGGTTCCAATAACGTGGTTTCTTCTGAACCGAATCTGTGATCACCTGATGAATCAATAGCATTAAAAAATTATTTCTTTTTCTCAGTGTGTTGTCTTTTGTCAGTGGTGATCTCTTCTGCATATGTCCATCTTATATCCACTGATATATGGGACCTACAGTTTTTTTAACACCGACTGGCACATAGTGGAAGAAATACTCCACCATGGAACGGCCTATCGGAAGAGATTGTCGTGGCAAAGATACTCTTAATGATTTGTCATTGTCTTGGTGATGGTCAAAGTGATGATCAAATAAAATCTGGTACGTATAGAGTCTGGGTGGATTTGAACCCCATAGCAGCCATGCGACTCTATGCCACAAAGTTATTTAACACGATTTTAATCATTTCTATTTTCTGCAAGCTTTTGTTGAAATACATATCGATTTCTCATTTTTATAATTACTTTTGTAATTAATTTCTTAGAAATAATTCTTATTAATATATGTGTAAATTATATTTGCAAATTTTTTTTGAAATAAAATTGTTCTAAGAAGAAATAAAATATTTTTATTAGATAAATTCATTTGATAGAACTTCTGCAAGAGTTTCATACAGTTCAGAAATAATTTTCGAGATAATTTGTTCCGAACTTTCTTAAATAAGTACCTGGAAATCTTTATTTGCTAAGTGGTTCTTACAGTTAAACTAATAACCTTTTCGAATTGCTAACTCGATTCGAGTCGAGTCAGCAAATTGGAGACACTGTAAGTCTCTTTTCAATAAAAATTACTTCTCTCTCTCTCTCTCTCTCTCTCTCTCTCTCTCTCTCTAATTAGTGTCTTGCTTATATATTTATAGAGACGAATTATAAGAGGCTAATTTTTTAAGCTCTTTAATATAAATTTATGTGTGTAAAACTTTCGAAGATCTCTCCTACAAAAGTAAATATAAAAAATTGCGTCAATTAAGAAAATACAAAGTTATAATACGTAATTCAAATGTTTCACATTAATGTTTTAACAACCAATGAATTTCGTTATATTTTACGCTCTTAAGCATTTTAAATATATGTATTTTAATATAATTGTGAAATCTATAAAATATATTTTTATATATCGATTTTTATATATATTTTATAAAGTTTTTTTAAATACGAATATATGTACATATATTCGTACTAGTAGCATAGTAACGTTTTAATAACGTCTTATTAAAGACGTTAAAGTCATTTGAAGTTACCTTGATACTTTCGATGCGACAAAATCATATTTATGTATTAAAGAAAGTGATATATATAATATGAAATTAAAATATCTAAATGATTAATCAATGCATTAATTTTCAATTTATTATTATCCATGTAGATACTTCATAGATATAAATGTGCACATATCTTGTAATACTCTGCTCGATTTGCTGACAAATTACTTGCATATTGTTTTTTTTTACTAATATTTTGCCTATTGAATACATTTATGACGCGATGATATTCTATTTTCATTTAAAATATGCATTAAATTGATATCCGTGGTATTGATTATTATAAAAAAAAATAGTTTTGTAGCAACACATACGATATATTATTGGGTTTTAAATATGTATGCTTATTTATGTATTTATATAATATTATATAAAACGTAAATTTAATACTCTATTATTGACTAATAGAGTCTGATGTCTATTAAATATTGAACGGTTGAAACGGTCGATAATGTCTGTACTCTTCAATTACCTCCGAGTTCACTTGATCATGAAAATTTACCCGTGGATGACCGTCTTTAATAGTACCTTATCGGTGTCTAGACTCATTTTTATACGCTCGTTTTTGTTCGTCGTAAATATTCGTTTATGATTGTCCTTGTTAGTTGGTCTCGATCGAGCAGTCTCGAATCTCGAGCCAGCTTTTAATTGACTTTCTTTAATAATACCTTGTACAGTGTATGTGTCGAATCGTCGATTGTTTAAAAGGGAAAAGAAACAACGCGTGGACATCCTGAATATACATATACATGTGTATCAATAGGTTTGTGCGTCGCATACTCCAACATGCTTCACATGTTCCTACCATAGCTCCTACTCACTCTAACGAGCGCGTTTGAGTGAATAGGAGCTACAGTTGGAGGAAGTAGGAGTATGTTGGAGCATGCGACGCGAACAAACCTAATAATACGCGTATATTATAGATCCGTATTCTCATCCGTAGGGTTTTTCTAGTTTTCCTATAGAAATCTGTGATAGTAGAAGGCTAATATTTTTGGTAAAGAAAGTGTACGACAAGAACTGTTTTTGAGTATGCAAGCATCTTATTTTTCCATTGCTGATAGGATTATAATTATACAATCTGAAGCTGTATCATGAAAGAAATAACGATTGGTTTAAAAGAAATGGTTATATTTAAAGTTTAAAGGCAATTTTTGCTACAGATGCATGTCTATACCAAAAATTTTTACACACGACATTATTTTAAGTGCAAAAGCATATAACAAGCATTTTAATTATTAAAAATACGACATATATTTTCCAAAATTATCAAATATTATGTATTTGCTCAATTATATCATAAAAATCTGTTTACAGATCTGTTTGTTATATTTGTACTTTATTTAATTTTTTGCATTTGAAAGAAGATGAATAATTATATGGCCGTTAGAGAGAGAAAGGGCAAAGAATCGAGTGCAGAAGGTGCAGGTGAAATGAATGAACCGCATGTTGTGCTTTTGTATACGTAGCAAGTCTTTATTATGCATCAGGAGCGTAACAGTAGGCACCCGACATCCGAATTTGCTAACAATTATTCTTTGTTTTCTATCATAGTTTATGCTCTATCTAATCAATAAGTGTCACGATTTATTATTGGATTTGATATTTGAGATTATTATTTTTATTATTGTATCTTCATTCTGTTAGGAACGCAGTTTCAGTTGGATTTATTTATATTTTTAGACTTGTGTCTATTTTACTAATTTTTTTTTCTAAAATTATTTATAATAATCGAATTTGAGTCTTTTACGTGGTAAGAGCGACTGTTTTATCACTAACAAGAAACGATAATCTACAGATTTAGCAATTAGTCATCCCAGATTATAAGATTTTTCAACGCATGCGCATCCCCACTATTTTTGCACGCATATTATACGTATAGTCGATCGCATGACTTGTTAAAATGACCTATTTAATCAATTTGTGCAAAGTAGGACAATTTTTTTGGATTTTTGAAAGAAATTTTGAATATCTTTTTCTATAAAAATATCTTATTATATTAAAATAATTTGACATCAGTAAACATTAAAAAACAAAAATTATTTCTTTAAATATTATTCCTTTCAATATTAAATTATTTAAAACAAGGGTTTTTATATTATTACTAATGCATACTTTTTATATTATTTTTATTATAATATAATTATATTATAGTTTGATAAAAATCTATATTTGCCTTTTTATTTTATTTGTATGATAGATTTGTATTTATAATTCGTACATAGTTTGATTAAAGATTGAAATTTTTGTACCTCAACAAATCTAGGGCGATATTTAAACAGTCAAATCTGTCAAAAATAGATTTTGCAAAATGTCTATTACGAATTTTATTGGCAGAATGCCAGCAGAAATGATGTCAATAGAATTTGTTACGCAATATGATGATAAATTGACAGAAAGCGAGTAGAATTTGTCATTTTGGAACCTTTAAAAAACATATTCCATTAAAAAATTGTTCAAAATAATAGATTTTGCTTGATTTTCACTGACAATTAACATTAACTTTTCGCTTATTGTATATATAATCAGATTTTATTATATAAGATTTTAAGTCAGATTTTTTGTAAGTAAAACTTAATAAGATTTTAAGTACGATTTTATATGTGTTTGTATAGCTAAATACAATTTTGAGCTGTACAATCATTTCTTTCTACTTTTTTCTTCTTTATTAAGGATTCCGACCTCCAAACAAGTTCGATATAGTCAGTGAAATTAACAAAAAAACATATAATTTGGTAAAAAATTTTTCATGCATGAACATAAATATATTTAAACATACGTAATAATTATATATGAAATATGTCTATAAATGGTCTTACATTTTTCTTTCTTTTATAAAATTACTGTTTAATATGAGAAAAAAAAATAATAATGAGAAAAAACCTAAAAAATAATTAAAAGGATAATTTTCGTATTGTTTTTCTTTTAGAAAAAAATGTGTCGATACATTCTTCTTTGTTTAGTATAAGAAAAATAATAATAATGAAAAAAACAAAAAATAATTAAAAGGGTAATTTTCATGTTATTTCTTTAGAAAAAATCAAGTTTGGAAAAATGTAGAATAATTGTTCATAATATTTTATTTATAATTTATACGTATGAGCAATTTTTTCACATTTCTCTAAATTTGATTTTTTCTAAAAGAAATAATATAAAAATTATTCTTTTAATTATTTTTTGTTTTTTTTTTCATTATTATTATTTTTCTCTTATACTAAACAGTAATTTTACAAAAAAAAGGAGAATGTATGGACACATTTCATACATAGATACTTATATATGTTTATATATGTTTAAATATATTTATGCATGAACAATTTTTTACCGAGAATATAATATTCAAATAACGGTGCCTTCTGCAAGTCGACACAAATGGATACAAACATTATTTTATCTTTCTTGACGTTCAGTGAATAACAAAAGGTGTTTTCCATTTATAAAAATTAAAAAAAGATGAAGTAGATCCGAAATTAAAGTTAATTTACATATATTGATGAAAACGAGCATACATAAATTGACATAAACATCATTCTAACTTTCTTATATTTCATGAGTAAAAAAGACAACACGATTCGACTTATATCATGAAATGAAAAGCACTCACAGATAGAACGACATTTGAGTTGATTTGTATCACCAAATGGAAAGCACCCTAAAGAGGTTTTAGTACAAGATAGAAATATTTGTAGAAACAGTCATAAAATTACGATTACTTTGGTCAGAAACTCTAAAAAATTTTTATTTGTACTCGGTCTTTTTTGAACAACAATCATATATATATATATATATAACTTTTTCTAAGGTGGAAACTTTCCTTAAGATAAAAAATAAAAATTTTTTTGTTGAAGGTTAAAATTTGTCTTATTTTTATTCAAGAAAGATTAAAATTATATGATCTTTGCTACTACTATTCTGATGCAACTCCCGATTATTTTATTGACTGAAACTTTGTATCGACAATGCCAGAAATCGTTTCGAGAATAAATTAATAAATCACATTTGAACAATTCGGCTGTTTGACTAATGTGATTAGGTAATCAATTTTTTCTTCAGATTCGGTGTAGTGGTAGATGTGGAGTATCTACGATGCTAAAAATCGTTCCGATACTCAGGTCATTCAAGCTCAATTAAGATTAAATATGATAATCTTATTTAAATATAATAAGACTGTCCTGAC